TGGGGAGAGCATCACGGGGGTTAAACATTATAACCAGTCAAGAAAGCCACCTACAGACCAGAGAAGTAACAAATGTAAATGAAAATAAATTCAGCACTTGGAGGCAAATTGGTTATTGTTCACATATTATGAGTTATCCTTGAGGACAAAAAAAGGTAATAGCCTTGGGAGATTTCTTTCAGTATCTTCTGAGACAAGGTTAAAGCTAGAGAATTAGGGAAAGATTTATATTTAGCATACAGGGATAAAGCAACAGATGACATTAGGCACTGAACTGCCATTTAAATGACAGAACAGTCATAATTTTGTAGGCTTTTTTTCAGCTGATGCCTAGACCCAATACTCTGCAGTATCTTCCACAAAGTACTGATGCACTCACATGCTGATAACAGAGTTGCTCGATCATAACCAGCATGGTTCACGCTTGCTGGAAAACAACTTCATCTGGATCTGAGATGCTTTGTAATGCTAGGTCCAAGGATTTAAACTCAGATGAGGACCCTACCTTTACCTGCCAATGTCAACTTCTGTTCCATGTTGTCCCAGAAGTTCCTCTGCATATGCAGTTGCCAGGGGAATTTAGGCAAATTTTAAAAGAGACTTAAAATATATAAATGGAGAAACCCTCATATGTTAGAGCACTGCTACAGTTTCTGTTATCCAACATCCAACAATGGCTATTAATAGGAGTCTAATTCACAGGTGTTTAAGGAACAAGCATAACTATCAGGACACGCAGTAACACTGGGAGAAAGATCCCTCCAGGCAACATCACACAAGCACCAGGCAGTCACTGCTTTGGGGAAGATGGTTAATAGTCACCAACAGATGCTGGATTCTCCAGAACTTTTTCCGATTCCTTGGCCTCCCTTCCCCTGCAAGCAGTAAGCTTAAATCACTAACCTTTTCTTTCAAAGGAGAAAGAGGAATATTATTTTCTATGTTAGAACTGCTGCTTGAATAATGTCATTGGGTGCCTCTTAGAACTGGCATTGTCAGAAATAGTGAGCAATCACTCCCTATTCACCTTTTCTATACTCCCATGATTTATAAAATCTCCATCACATTTCACTTCTCCTGTAGATTTTTTCTTCCTAATTTGAAGAGTCAGTTTGTTTCATTGTTCTTTTAAGACTCTCCTCTTCCACACCTCCGGTCTTTCCTACTCTGGGCCTATTCTGGGCCTTTAACGTAATGCCACACTTTCTTTCCTAAGTGCTGAGAATTTCTTTCCTAAGTGCTGAGAACTAAATTAGAGCCCAACATTGCATATATGTTGATGCAGCTGTTTTATCTTGTCCTTAAGTGCATTACTTTGCATTTATGAATACTGTAGTTCTGCACGCCTTTCAGTCACATCATATGAGCATTCTTCAGAAAGTCAAATATAAAGCTGACTGAACAGCTGTGTACTTAACTGTCACGTTATTATTTAGCCCTTTTTCCCCAGATTATATATAAAGGTTTTCTAGCATATGTTCTTTGAGATTTTCAACAGGAACCATACCCTACTGCACAGCATCAGAACAAAGAACCATATAGCAGTTAGTGCCTTTTATTTCTTTGATATCATAGATGACTTAGTGGAAAGTTATCCTTCACCACCGTATCCTTCAGCCACTTCATTTCTTAACTTCACAAGGACTCTCAGGTAATTCTATATTCACCATAGGCTTGTTACAGTACATTCCCTTATTTTAGTTTAGAAGTCCTACTATTGATACTGCAGTTCAGTATTGAGTGCTGCTCAGGCTTTTTCCCAGAGATGCTTCAGAGCTGAGCTAAGCTCCTCCTGAGCAAGCACAGCAGCACAGAGATACATGTAGCTTTGCCCATTCGCTACAGCCACTTGTTCTCAGAGCTCCTTCAGTCACCTCATTTCTCTGCTCCTCAGTCAGTTAGCCAGCCCCACAATTTATCAGTATGCTTGACCATCTTACCATTAAGTAGAGGCTTATGACCTACCTCACACAGAGTGAAATCCAAATCCACCAGGACCTCTCTTAATGATGTGACAGAGCTTAAAAGGAAATGGCCTCACCAAACTTGTTCTTTCTTTCAAAATCAAGAGCAGAATTATTCATCGTCTGGTTTCTCAAGGCAAGTAAACCACCCTAGTACAGTTGACTGTAATTGACTTCCTACAGCTTCTAGTGATCTGGATAATGATTTCACAGAAGTATGTTCAACATCACTAGCGTGGTAGATCAAGCCCTTAGTTGTCATTTTGATATATTCTATTCCCACAAATGAAGGACTTAAGTTTCTAATCAGGGGACAAAGGACTCTATTTGAAAATTTTCATATGAATAATATGAAGTGACAGGAACTACTGTTAAGAAAAACTGAGTGGTTTTATTTTACCTAAACTAGGAATATAGGTTGCATGTGTTTTATTTGTGGTTCAGGTTCACTCTCCTTGCTCTGTGGGATGGTAATAACTACATTTAAAGAAGTACCTAAGGACCTGCAAACTCTCAGTCCTATCAGTTGTAGCTGACATCTAATACTGAAGTGGATTTCTGAAGTTCATACAGCAACAGGTATTCCCTCTGAATTCACAGGAAACATTCTATAATTCAAGAGAAGCTGATGGGACCACTACTGGAGCAAGGCACTCGTCAGCTGTCACTACCTACCTTTTGCAAAATACTTTGCCAAAACAGTTAAGATGCTACCACGTAACAGCTGTTGCTGTGATATCACAAAATAAATTTTACAGATGTTATTTTTAGTGAATGTTATATATCCTATTCATTCACTTACCTATCCTACCATTACGGCAAAGTTTTTTTCTGATATGTTCTATGCTCTTCCTTCTTCTGCTGGAGACCGTCCATCTTAATGGCGTTGCTTTAAGGTTATGAAGTATAAATTGATAATTCTTTCAAATCAGTATAAACTTATGTCAGTATAAATATCCAAATAGCATAGGCCACTGTAATAGCATAGGCACTATAATAATTTGCATGAGTGCTACAATGTGTTGGGCAATTAAAAACTAAAATAAATTAGCAAGTTTCTGAAAACCAAAAATCCAAATTGTATTCAGCTGATATAAGCAAGCCATTCTGATGACCTCACTGGACCTACTAAAATTTCTGTCTCATAAGACCATTTCGGCGGGGGGGCTGGGGGAGGGCAAAATTCCAGACATCTTCTCTAAAGAAACAAAAATGTTTAAAAGAAACGCTGTTCTTCTGTCCAAGGCAGGTGCAGGTAAGTGCTGCCATCTGTCTTATGATGTAACATCACTACAATTGCCTTATATTTCTGTTTGTAATTCAGTTCACCTCTCAGAAAACTGAGCTGCCTGGAGATGAAATGCAAGTATTTAGCAGCTGTTCTTTATAATACTGAATCTACCATTTTTTACCATTTGAACCCTACAGATGCAAATGCAGTAGATTAGGACAGAAAAGTCCATTCTTTTTTGTTCAATGATTCAACTGCCAACATCTATTAAGGAAAAATTTAATCAAGATATGTATATATTCCATTTGCTTCTATTGTCATGATATTTTTAAACTTAACACTGATACAGTACTTAACATATATTAACTATGTGAGTTACCTGTGAGTTAAAGCAAAAGTCTGTTTTGCTTTTAAAAATAAAATTCAATTTTTATTTTTTTTTAAGTTGTCTCTCAGCTATTGGACAAAATCAACTATTTCAAAATTCCTTGCGGTAAGGCCATTTCTTAATTAATAACCACTAGTAATTATAGAAGTTAATGTCAAAATACCACTTGAGAAATCACATGTGGTGTCAAAGAATCCATTTTGCTTAGTTTTTCTCTTTATCATCTTGCATAGAAGATGAGAATAAGGACAGCAACTAATTTCTGAGCATCAGCTGTATTGCTGTATTATCAAACCATAACTGCAAAATATACATTTATATTCTGTGGGGAAATAATTCAGATTATTTTAGAACCTCCACCAGCGAGTGTAATATCAGGGCTTGGTTTGGGTTGTGTTTTTTTTGGTTGGTTGGTTTTATTATTATTTTTTTTTTCAAAGTGAATGTTCAGTCAAATTTATTTAATAAAAAGGAACGAGCCAAAACAAACAAACAAAAATGCACAAAACAATTGATATTGAGGGATCTCTGTTTTAGTAGTAAAAAAAAAAAAAAGTAAAATCAAAATCCCAAGAACACAGGGAGTCCATGAGTAATGCTCAGTATCCCAAGTCACAAATTGTTTGTTTTTGTTTTTGTTTTTGTTTACTTCTGTATTTCTCTGCTTTGCATAATCAACATTTCCGTCTTCTACCTGTATTTCTATTGTCACTTATTTCATCCTCTGATTTTTAACTGGAAATTTGTGTTCTCTCATCACTGACTCTCCTTCAAAGCAAGGTCTGCAGTTTGGTTCCACATAAGATTTTCATGAAAAAACTATCAAAACTATTTATGCAGTCTGCCATGTTTTCAGGGATGAAAAAGAATACCAACAGCTTTGTACTTATTGTAAACTTGTGACCCTCCTCTCAGACTGCCAAAATGCAAATACATAGCTGCATTCAGTTTTGATGAAATTCTCATAGCACAGTAATGCATCTTGAGCTTTGTGGTTCAGAAAGAAAAGCACCAGAAATTGAGTGCAGATATAACTAAACTGTGAAAATAGTATTGTTCTTGCAACATGGGCTATCTGACAGCACTGAAGGAAAACATATATTTTTAACTATTTTGCATTAACCATATTTTTTTTAATTAATTTTCCATTTTCATTACGTATGCAAATAGAAAGCATTCAGGATTTTAAACAAACAAAAAAAAATCACTCGACTTTTTTGGTAAGCTGAGGTACAGTAAGACTTCATTTATGTTCACAACATTGCTACATCATATTACCTGGCCCTGATGTTTCACATTATCAGCTTTATTGCTTATGAATTTCTTTATGATCTTTTAAGATAATTAAAGATATTGCCTAATTCTCTAGATCACGTAGCCATAAGATGAAGATAAAAATGTAAAACAAGTTACTTACCTCCTTTTCCAAAAGCTTAGCCCTTTTACTCAGTTTTCAGCAAAGGAACATTTCCTACAGTATCACACTAGAGAATAATAAAAAAAAAAAGAAAATAGTTTCACTCATTAAGAAACAAAAAATATGGATTGCAATAGATCAAGATTTTGTCCCCTGTGAAGTATGAAAGCATGCATTATTTTAAGTTATGCAATTTAAAATATTTAAAGTATGTTCCACTTAATCATTTACATCTTACAGCACTATTTTATTAAATAATGAAATATTTATAGCCTCTAAGGCTCTAATTAAAATGTTTTCTCAAAATTATTTTGCTTATTTCATATGAAGACTTAACATATGAAAACAGACAACCCAGTAAATATTTAAAAGGAAATGATCTATGAATATTCACTCGCGAACAGCAGAGCGACAAAGAACAGGCACACAAAAGCAACTCCAGACTTAATTCTCTCCACACCAGCAAAGCATAACCAGATCCAACTCATGTGGCTAAAACAACTTCTATTTTCTGCCTCTTGTAAATGCTTTGATTAGGAATATAGGTCTGGAAGAAGTTCTTCAGGAAAGCCATTTTAGACTGTCATGATAGCACTACTACATTTTGGTCTCCGTGGCCACATGAGCACTGTAATGGCACTACCACAGGGTTGCTACCACTGAGCCACCCCACCAGCAACCTACACCTTTCCACAGAAATCTTTCCTCTCTTCATATTTTTCCTTTTAAGTTGAAAACTTAACTACCTCTATTGATAAAAACTGCCTTTAGGCCTTCTGCTGCCACAGGGAAGGTCCTTCACCTGTTGTTCCTGGCAAAGTGCAGGGTGCACCACCGCCAGCAGGCTTCCATTCACCTGGCTGCTCTCCTGACTTGCTCTGCCACTATACGCCTCATCTGCACAGTTCTGCCCGTCCGTCATGGACAAGCACTTGCAAACGAAGGCCCTCTGGCAGTTTGGGTACAGGACACCAAACCAGCAAGGCCTTCACAGGCTACAGTGCAATGTGGGCATCCATCAGCCTTATGCCGAGGCAGAAATCCTGCTTGGCCAGCACCTCCGAGCATCTGTGTAACTGAGGGGTCTTCGCTTTGTTTTGTTTAAAGGTCTATGAGTTACAAGACGCCTAAATAACTAGAAACTATTCATCAGTTGCAACAGCAATTCGCTGACCTCTGCTGTCCAGGTGATTTCAGCAGAGTTAGCTTGGGTTAGTATACGCCACAGGGCCAAAATATTTACCAAATCTAAATTCTTCAAAAATTATTACATTGCTAATCCAGGTGATGCAATAAAAAATATTACTCTTGAATTTTTAATTATAATTATTAATGCTGTTTAAACAAGGTGAAAAAAATCTGATTTCAAGCAAGTTGACATTTTAAAGCTTTATTTAAAATGCTGAAACCATCTTATTTGTCATTTAAAGAAAAAAAACGCCCTTTTCATTTCCCTCTGAAATGGAAGTGGCATATGGTTGGCGTCGTTCTTGTTAACGTTCTCTACATCTTCAGCGGTAGGTTGTTTTTCATTTGTTTTTAAAATCAAGGTATAGATGGGCTCACACACAGCTGCAATTCCCTAACATCAGGGGCCTTTTCATTCCCTTGCCCCTCTTAATAATTATCTTTTTTTTTTTTCACTGTGCTATTTCTCTTCCAGCAAGAGCAGATGAAAAGTATCAAACAGAAAGAGAGGAGAGATGCAGCACAAGACAGACACTCTCTAGCTCTTTTTCCCCTCATTTTCAGTTTTACGTGTTCTTACTTCTAACATAGATTTCTGTTAATAAGTGCATTCAATCCCCCAGTTACAAAGAAACACCTAAATTCCAGCATTAAATTTTAGATTCCATACAATGCATGCAGTCTTTAAATGTGTACTCAAATTAGTACAACTTTAGTTTTAACTCTTCTAGCATTATTTACTAACTGTGTAAATAAGTACAAGCCCTTGACACTGCAGAAGACAGGGAGAAAGATGTGCACTGCTTTGCTGTTTGAGGTATTCAACAAGAAGCTTGAAATACACAATACTAAAGGATAAGTATTTTAACCCCTGCTTTTGTTTAAGCTTAGGGCTTAAAAGAAATTTGATAGAAGAAATTATCACAATGACAGAAGATTTGAACTGTCTCAAATAACAGGCCATAAGTCAACAATATATTGTAAGCTTTGAAATAATAGACTGAAGTGATAACTGATTAGTATTCACATGTCCAGATAATTGCCATATTGGCAAACACCATTAGAGATATAGAAGGAAAGGAGCCTGAAGTTAAGCAAACAATGCAAATGAGTTAAGATACAAATCACTAAGGGCCATTTTCATTCCACACAAAATTATAAAGATCAGAATTCAGCACTTTGAAATGGGCATGCTCAAAAAAAAAAAACAAAAAAAAAACAAAAAAAAAACCTTGAATTTGTTATATTTGTTTTATTTTGATAAAAAACAGAAGTCCTGTACTCATGCAATTATAAGAGTTGTGGTATTAGCCTTACAGCAAATATATTCCTGTAAAACATGTTATATGCTTATTTGGTAGCAAAACTGCATCAGTTTTCTCTTTTCTATTCCCTGCTAAATACCAAATCAGTGACAGTCATAAAAAGCAATACTAATAAAACTGATCTACTCTCACAGCAGTGTGGCCTCACAGAAAATATTTATGGAGACAACTTGTCTAAAGCTTAATCTTTAGATTCTAAGCTAAATTATGTTTCCAAAACTGTAAAAAAAGGAGTAGGCAGCCCTTAAAAAGAAAATCTTATCAATAAATCAAGCTTGATACACTTGAACACAATTAACCTTAATCCTCCAATATGCTTCTATGGAGCTGATCTAAACCTCAAGATCTTCAATTTTGTACATATACATTCCTTCAAATACTGAGGGAATTTTTGCAAACTAAAATGGCTGTTTTTCTACTACCATCATTTGCACATATTATAAAGGAAGGGAAAATACTACAGATGACAATATACTCCTCCATCCTCCTTTGAAATGGTTGAGAAGGTTTGTGGCTGTTACAGAGCATGCTCTAGAAGCTCACTCCAGCAGTAAGACTGTGACTGCTCGGTGTTAAACGTTAAACCCGTCATTGCTCAAGGAGGGGAAAATGTCAGCTCACTAAATAAATCCTGGCTGGCAGTCAATTAGTTATTACTTTTACCACCTGCCCACACACCTGTTGTTAAGTTAATGCTTTTGCATCCGCTCTCCCTACAGACCAGTAGAACATTATTTCATAAAGTGACACAAAACTCTGATACAGTCCTTGTTACAAAATATGCTTCGAATAGCTATTAATCAAAGGATGCCGTGAGCTCAACAGAGCCTTCAATAAATACGATGAGACTGAACATCTACAGCTATTGTTTCAGCCATAGATCTTGTAAATGCTTTTTACTGTAGCAACAAACTGCTAATAAATTCAACTTGCATTACTAGAAACATATAAAGGACGGGATACACTTCGTGATGTTTTCTCAATGTCCTCCCCAAGCCCATGCACTCAGACATTTTGTTTCCAGAACTATTTTATAGTTAGGAGTGACATGCTGTTCCCCCTACCCTCTCCCATGACTGACGAGGGAGAGCAGCAAACAAATACCACTGCCAGCACTGTGCCCCTCTCACACAGCAGAGCAGGGAGGCTTTCTGCTTCCAGCTCACAGCAGCTTTAGCAGCAATTAGCAACATTAATTGCACATGTTTCATTGGGGAAATAGTCTTAAAAAAAAAAAAAAAAGACACACACACCACCAAAGCCAACAACAGTAGAAGTGCTGTCCATGCTACTGTGCAAAAGTGGCAGTTTTCCACTATTCTAGAGCATATATTCAATAAATGGCAGTGATAATCCAGGCATAATGCAGGTTACTCAGTGAACGGTCTGAAGTTTTCAAAGTACTTTAAACATTTACTGAATAAAGAAGCACAAAGATGGGAACTTCTCATCTATGTTCATTTTGTTTCAATTAAGAAGCAATTCCTCCAGTGAGATTTATGGAAGCATTCACATTCCATACAGCTTTAATCCCTATAAACTACAGCAAAGGTCACTGGCTTGTTTTTACTTTCACCGTGTATTACTGCATTTTCTTCTCAGTAAGGACATAATAGATCTAAAGAGATAAAGCAGGAGAAACATATGTTGTTTGACATCAACCAAAAAGCTGGACTAAACAAAAGATCACAACCCCTACGTATCAAGTCTAGAAATCTCTCTCGGCATTATGCTGGTTGGGATTCAGACTGAGCCAGGCTGAATGTACGTGGCTGCTGAGCAAGCTGTGCTCCAAGGCACACAGCAGTTAAACACCAACAGCCTAAACCAGCTGGGAGGGGGAAAAGTGTTCAGACAGAGCCAGCCAGCCAGGTGTTTGCTCTCCATGTAGCTCATTGCACTTTCAATATTCTTGGTCAACTTGTTCTTTGTTTGCCCCTTCATTTCTTTGAGGTTTAAAACCCACTAGCACCTGCAACCCTTCAGAAATGTAAAGCAGATTAAGCACAAAGGATTAGCATGAGATATTGAAAATCTCCACATCCTCACCTATGTACTAACAAAACCAGAAGACACAAATAGAGGAGAACAGCTCCACTGAAAAACCAGTTGTGGACCCCTAGCCCAGAGAGAGGAGAGAATGACAACACCATAACCATTTCTCAGCCCATGAATCTTATAATGCAGTTCAGCGTAACTTTTAAAGTTGCAGCCTTCCCTGACTTACAGGTTTACCCCAGAGACATGTAATCTCCGTTTCCTGGGATCTTCACATCCAATCTGCTGTACTGGTGTTTCCCCAGCCAGTCACCCGTTCTCTGAAAGCAGAGCCACCTGGAACTACAGGGAAATAACGCTGCAGTAGGCTACCATTACTGTGGACAGGGACAGGCAGATTTCAGTATGGAAAAGGGGAAGAGGAAGAGGAGAAAAGGAAGAGGACTGCCCTCATAAAAATAATTTCAAAAAGACAGTATATTTCACCAAAATTTTACAAATTTACTTTTATAGCAATAATTGTCACTGTGAAGGGTACCAGAGTTCAGAGAACAAT